GCGGGCTGTGCGTGCTCGCTTGTTTCCATTTTCCTTGGGCAGACATCTTCCAGGTGGCCGTAGCAACCACAACAATAACAGATGGTTGGCAGTCCTTCATACTCGACGTACAATATTTTGCCATCAACGTCGATCTTAGCAGTAAGTGGCTGGGAGAGATCAATGAGGACTGCCATACGGGCAAACTTCCCTCGCTCTCCTGAGGTAGTGTTATAGTCAATCCTAAGTACCTTGCCCAACACTTCTCCTATGGCTCGAACCACACTTTTCTTATAGTACTTAGTCGGCAAACCAGGGATGCGGATCCAAGCCATGACTTGGGAGGCGACGTGGGTTAGAGGGGAGAAGTCGGGAGTCCAAGGTTGGACTGTGAGATAATGCCCGAAGATGACCCAGGGCCCTCCCAGCAGGACCTCCTGATAATCTCGTTCATTACTTAGTTTGGCAATGAAGCAGTTACCCTCTAGGTCCGATAGTTGAACAGTGCCATTGAGTTTCCAGAGGCTGACAACCTTGTCTCGGAGATCATTATATCTGATGTTACGACCAAGCATTTTAACCACAACCGCAAATTTCATGCTGTCATCTAGTATCTTGTGGACCCTTGCTGAGAAATGAATGGATGGAAAGGGACCTGCTTTGTTGACAGTGATGTCCCCTTCGTGGAGTGCGAGATCTTCTTCCTCATCCCTGGCTCGTGGCCCCTGGTTGAGTAGCATGTCCCTGAAGGAAGGCACTGGTTGCTCAGGTGGGTCGGTGGCATCCATATTCAAGTCGTTAGTCTGCTGGTCCTCGTTTGCTTCCTCTGCAGACATTTCTTCATCAGATGGTGAGATAGGGTCATAGGAGAGAATATCGGATTCTTCATGAGGGAGTCCATTACGTATTTTCACTTTCTTCGTCGATCGATTGTCATCTGGATGCGGAGGGGTGTCTTCTTTTTCCTGAAGCTTGGTGGAGAGAGAGCGTTCCATCACGTTGTTCTTTGATTTTTTGTTCCTTGACAAAGCACCACTCGAATTTAAGGGGAACAAAGTTTAGTACCTGATTTGATTGATAAAGTTTTACTCAAAAATTATTTGTCAAGTCAAATGATAAAAATTAAAGGCCAAAATAATAGTCAAGAGTGATTTAAATTTACTTCAAGTTTCAATTTAGTTCATAAAATGTAAAAATAAAATTTTTAGTCTTTTAATCTTAAAATTATTAGTTTGGTATAATAAAAATATTAACTCAACAATTTAAATGGTGACTGTGTAATTAAATGTTGACAAAACATGCTCGAATTTTAATTTTTTTAAAAACCAAACTTAGGTCAGTATGCTTATATTTATTAAGTCAAGTTCATATGTTAATTTAATAATGCGTAGTTGTCTTTCTATTGGAGACAATCTTGTTTAAAGATTGCATATACCCATTTTAACAATTGACAATACCAAAAAATTAAGTGTCCATATGAAAATTTTTACAAAGAGAAAAAAACAGTAAAATACTTTCAAAATTACTAAGTGACAAATTAAGGTAGGTAAATTTCAAAATTCCAATTCAGATCCTAGGTACCATTTTTGGAATTTTCAAATCTTGTACAATAACAACATTGTCCTTACTGTCAGTGACTACTTCCATGTAGCTATTAACTACTCTATTTTAACTATTGACTACTTTTGTTTTTAAAGTTTCGGTGACTACTTTTATATAGCCATTAACTATATAAGAGTAGTAAATCATATTACTAGAGTAATCAATAGCTTAACAAGAGTAGTCATCAGAGTTTAAAAGTAAATATAGTCCATAGTTAAAAAAGAGTAGTCATCGGAGCTCCAATGATCGGCCACCAAAGTTTCAGTCACATGTCATCTGAATTTAAAAATAAATATAGTCAATAACTGAAAAGAAATAGTAATTACATAAAAAGAGTAGTCATCGGAGTTTTGATGACAGGTCATCGGAGTTTCGGTGATTGGTCGCTTCCGGTGACATGTCATTGGCGTTAGAGCTTCGGTGACTGGAATTGTTGAGGTGGCAGTATTTAAAAAAAAAGTGAAAAAAAAATAGTAAAAAGCATTTGTGTAATTTTTATAAGATTTAAAAATTTTAAAAAAGTACCTGGGGTCTGAATTGGGATTTTAAAATTTAGATACCCTCCTTTGTCATTTAATATTTTTGAAGGTATTTTACTGTCTTTTTTCTATTTACAAATTCTAATTTACATCATAAAAGGTCATACAAAATTTACAAGTATTTATGTGTAAACTTACACGTGCACAATAATAGCAAAAATAATAAGTATGATTAGAGAACTTGACTTAATGAATTTAAGTAATTTGACCTAAATTTCATCCAATTCTTAATATAATTAATTTTCATTTTTAGAATATAAGCATTTGGGGAATTAGATATCTAATAAAATATTTAAATTACTAAACTATTATATTAAAAAGAAAAAAAATATTTTTTACAAGTCAACTTATTCTTTTTGATAACTTAGAGTAGAAATTATGCAAACAAAATCCCAAGAAAAAAAAAACATTTGTAAAGTTGGATTTGACTATTCTAAAATGGTCCTCGATTCGTGAACAAGTTGCCAAAATATCTAAGGGAAAAAAGAAATGAAAACAAATAAAGAAAGAACGCGTGTGGATTTCAATTGGCGCACACTAAGCAAAATGGGCCTGTAGTTTAGCTCAGCTTTCCTCACAGTACATTTTGATAAGGTCACCATCTTTTCCAAAAAGCCTAATTAGGCCCTTTTAGCAAGTGGAATTAAAAAGCACCTCCCCCCAACTTTATTCTTAGGGACAATGATTAAAAAAAAAAGTTAGAATTTTATAAATAGCAAATAAGGAATGTCAAAATTTATTATCGTATGTAAATTCAGATTTGTCAATACCAAATAAAGTTGTATTACCAAACCTTATCTGGGATTTGCAATTTCTAACTTCTCTTTTTGTCATTTTCCCTTATTCTTATTATTATTTCTGAAAATTAAAAACAATTACTTAATTATTATTACAAAGAGTGGAACGGACTCAGTAGTGTCTTGAGTTTTTAATTTCATAAAAAACAAGGTTATGTTAGGAGTTCTATTGAGATTTGTTGTTAAATGCTCATCTAATGAAACGCAATGTCTTATTGAATTTTTGGGTCATAATTAGCGAGCTATTAGCCTATGGCACATGCTGCTATTTGCTGCTCGCTTTGTTGAGGTTTTGTTCAATTTCATGTATTAGGATTATTTGTAATCTCCATGCATTTTGTTAATTTAGGGTATTAGGTTCGCATAGTACAATTATTTGATATAATCCATATTACAACGTATTATTTTTAATTCTTGATATAAAAGCTAATTGCGAATTATATTTAGTCCTGAATATAGCGATCTTAATTATATTTGCCTCTCAAATTTATAATTGATTCTCTAAAATATCTTTACCATGTAATCCAAATTGATGCGTATGCAAATTAACATATGGCCATTTATACCCTTTATGAATCAACATTTAGACACTTCCCCTATTTTTGGTTTTGATAGAGTTAGAAAACATCATTTCACATTTATTTTTATTTTTTCTAGATAAAATATAAATTTTATCCCATGATTCCTTGATAGTATACCGAACGAATTCTCCGTAATAATTCTTGTACATTATATTTCATATAATTCTTTGAACCAAACACACGAAATCTTATTGATCCGCAATCCCAAAAAGGAAAAAAAATCATCCTTTTCCTTTTCATGATAAAGAAAATCAACTTTAGAAGTTACTTTTAGTATGCAAACGAACACACAGTTAAAGCAATGCTTGAATTTGGACTCCTTTCACATGTCTTTTTGCACTCTTTGCTTTGTCCTTCTCCACATTCCATCACTTAAGGTGACAAGTTTCGAAAAATGAAGGGGGCAAAAATGGGAAATTAATGAATGGTCAATATTGCTTTCACTCCCACAATACATCTCATAACTTAAAACACTTAAAAAAAGACTGTTTGGTTCTTATTCCTTAGTCGGGTATGAAATTTTGATGCATTAATCAAGCTGATTTTTTTTGGACCTAACAATGCTTGAATTTGAATTTGTTCGTAAGATCACTCAAAAGATAACATGTGTGCCTCGCGGTTTGTGTATTGACTATTTTGGGTCACTGTGTTAGTCATTTTGTAGGCATGTTGCTTGAGCTAATAACAAGCTTGTTTTGGGAGACTAGCTAGACACATGTTAGGATAGGTTGGTCATTTTTTATAGTGTATAACCATGTGCTTACGCTTTCTTATTTATTCATGTTTTGGATTTTAAGTGCTTTTTGTGTACCACCTTTTTGTTATTATCAGTACTAAACTTTAAAACCTTGATAACTCAGATAAAATTCTTATCCTAATCAATCCCACTTTCCGATGTGAAAGCATTAGGTGGAACATTAATGCCTCTAATTTAATTTAGAAGAAGCTTTTGGGGATACACACAATGGTGGAGGGAGAGAGAACACGCAGGAGCCATGGTGGTCCCAAATTTTCAATTTTCTCCTTATATTATATAGGTCTTATACATTTGGGAGAATGACAAAAAAAACAAAGCTGAAAATCTCAAATTAGATCTGATAACAACTCTTTGTTTGGTGTTAACAACACTAAATTTGTAAATAACAATAAATTTTAGTTGACATTCCTCATTTGGCATTTACAAATTTTTAACTTCTTTTTTTCTCATTTTCCCTATGCATTTTCCCCTCCCAAAATTTATGAAAATATTATACTACTTCTGGTTTTTAATATAAAAACTATTTAGGGGATGGATTTACCCTTAAAGCCATAGATTATTTATATACTGTTCATATTGATTATATTTCTGTGTTATAAGTTCTTCATAATAATGACCAAAATTTCATGTTGATCCAACCTTATTCTTTTAGCACTACAATGATATTAAACAATTCTCCTACACCAAATAATCAATGAGGTCATAGTAAAATCAAACTTTTGACCACCACAACATTATAAGTAGCTTTGATGCAGTCAATTGGCACTTGTGCAATTGAATAATTATCAAGAACTTATTTATATCTAAACAGTCATAACAACAAGCATTAATAGTGCAACAAGGAGATAAAGGGGAACGGGAATAAGTTTGAAGTAGTATGTGGGCTCAATTTGTTCACCTCAAGAAGTGACGGATTGAATTGACAAAATGCCAATCTATTTTGAGGCAAACTTTTTCTAACCCACCTCGCCAACCTACAGCATTCTCACTTTATACATTGTCTTACACTAATGCATAACTATATGATTGCAAAAGATTCACAGTCTGGCCAAAATGAGGTTTTAATCCTCAGTATATGTCAACCCAAAACCAAGGGGAAATAAGGGATCATGTAGTCTAACCCCCTCAGTTGGTTGATCAAGATCCTTAACCCTTCGAAACCAAGCCATAGGAAGCTGTCCTTTAAAGTCATGATCCCCAAAGATAACGTCTGTAATTCCCTGAGCTTCAGTACCAGGAAACCAAGCAGCAACAAGAGCATCAATCTTCTCTAACAGCCATGGCTCTAACACTAAAGGTCTTCCAGATATCAGAATAACCAGTGTTGGGATTTTGTCTGCAACTGAACTTATAATGCGAGGTCCATTTAAAGGGATCACAAGCTCAGAATTGTCACCAAACTTCTCTGCATAGGGTTTTTCACCAACAGCTACAATGGCAAAAGATATGTCATTGCGTTCTAGGGTCTCTTTTGATGGATTTTCCTCATAAATAATTTCTGTTTCATCTCCTACAGCTTCCTTGATGGCATCCAAAAGTGTTGTCCCTAAAATAGTAGGCAAAGGTTAAATGTAGCAACTGACAAGCATGTGGAATAAGAAAGTAAAAGAGTGGTGGTATAAATGGCCCAACCCTAAGCTCTTATAATAATGACATGGATTTTCCCCTGCCCTTATGAGCCACAACCAAATGGGCATAGCCCATTGGACTTTGACCTCCATTGCAAACATGGCTTACCATGGGCTAGAATGTTTAAGAATAGAGGCTTTTTTTTTTTTAAATGAAAGTTGTGATGTCCACGACTTAATTGACCGACGCTAGTTGTTGTGTTGACCACTCTAAAATTAGAAATTTTATATGATATACTTAAAAAATTCACCTCCCATCCGCCCCCCCAATTTAAAAGAAAGTTTCATTTATGCCCTATAAGAAATTTTGTTTTCTCCTATTTTACATTTTATATATCAAAAAATAAAACACACACACACACAACACACTTTTCTATCAAATTGATTTTAAAAGCATTGAATAAAACTTCACAAAATGCATTAAAAATTTTAAGCTTCTTAACTAATTAAAATTATGGTGTTTAAGAAATAAAAATGGTATATTCAATGTTTAGTTTTGGAGGATTACAAATAGATCTTAAATAAGAAAATCAATTATTTGTTGAATTCCATTTACACGGCAAATTTTCACATTTACATATATAATTAAATAAGAGTTGAAGGTAATTAATTTCTTTATTTGGGACCTATCTGTAACTCTCCTTTAACTTTAACTTTTGAGAAAACCCCAAAAAAAGCTCTTGAAATATAGGAAATTTCTGATTGGGTCCTGGAATTGTGTAAATGACAGAAAGGGTTAATAACCCAATCTGTCATTTGTAAAATTAAGAGGAGTTAACAACTCTGCCCTTATTTGTATTTATTCACTACAATGATTTAAGGAATCATTATAAGGGTTTAGGCGTTACCTAGATTCGTGTAAAGAATAACTATTCACTTTTTCGTAGTCAGGAATGCCCCATGAGAAGTTTCATTTTAAATCAGTACAACTAATCATGTAATCACTTTTGCTTAGCCAAGCATGTGAAGATGCATTGTTATTAACTACAACTAATCATATAATCACTAGAACAGTGTAAGCGTTACCTAGATTTGTTTAGAGAATAACTACTCACTTCTGCTTAGTCAGGGTAAAGTTATCTATTCCTTTTGATTTTACAAATGACAGATTGAGTCATTGACCCTTTCTGTTATTTACACAATTTCAAGACTAAATCAGGAATTTCCTAGATTCCAATAGCTTTTTTTGAGATTTTCCATTAACTTCTTTTTGTTCTTTTATAAAGTGTAATACTTTTTGACTTCTTGGATCACCTTAAATTATTAATAAGATAAAACTTAATAATAAAATGGAAAAAAATGTTCTTTAATTGTTTATAGTGAAAATTTTATCAAACGCCATACAAAAGATAGTTATTTTTCATTTGGTAAAAACAGAAGAATATGATTCTATTAGTTAATACTAACTCCACCACTTTTACTATGTATAAATATTGCCATATTAATTTAATAAATAATTATGATTACATTTTCTTAAAAAAAATACTTTATTTTTATTAGGCACAAATATTAGGTAAATCATGAGATAATTAAAACCCTTACAAGAAAAATAAACTAAGCTCGTAAGCGAGCACGATTCATCTGTGATTTAAGCATGGAAAACAAAGGCATACCGATGGTAACTCGTCCACTAAGTCCTTGCCAATTTTTAGTCCAGCCTCCACACTGATAGCCCAGATCGTCTGCATGGCTTCCGGCTACAAGAATCCTCTTGGCTTGTCTATTTAATGGAAGAAAAGGTCTGCTTTGATCCTTTCCATTCTTCAACAGAACCAAGGACTTTCGAACTGCTTCCCGTGCAAGTTCTCTATGTTGCTTCATAAATAATGGATCAAGTGAAACGAAAAATTCAGCGAAATATGGTAATGAGTGCTTAAAATGACAAGTCAGCCTAAACTTGTGAAAGGGAATTTAAAAATATTCTGAGTTATTCTTATTACCTTGCAACCAACCATATCCAGCAAAGATCTATCAGATAAAGGAGATTCAAAAATGCCAGAAGCGAATTTCACTCTCAGTATTCTCTCAACAGCATCATCAATTCTGGCTATTGGTACTTCCCCTGATTCTACAAGGGAGGTCAGTTCTTCCATTAACAGCTCAAATCTGTAAGGCACCATGACCTGCAAATTTTCTTGAACAGCTGAAGAAAAAAGAAGGGGAAAAAACAGAAAAGAAAAGAAAAAGAAAAGCAAACCCTGATAATGGTATCGAGAATTGAAGGTCTGTACCATGTCAATTCCAGCATTAACAGCTGACATTATGCAGTTTCGGTAATCAGACCCACGAGGTTCACGAATCTTATCAATTCCCATCCAGTCAGAAATTACAATACCCTATAATAGCAGAGCCAATGGTGTAAATTAAACAAAATCATTAATTCACATGCTGTGAAACAGATGAAAAGGCAAAATAACTTTAGTAACGGTAGTGCATTTTTCAAAGAATAAAACAAGGAGTCTTGTACTCTTTGGTTAAGAGAAGAGACAGAACAGCAAAGACTGCAATAACTTCAGCTTTAATTCCTACCATCATGGTTGTGTTACCTTAAAACCTAGCTTCTCTTTCAAAATTTCAGTAATAAGGTGATAGTGAGAATGGAGTTTGCATCCATTCCAACTAGAATAAGAAACCATAATGGTTGAAACACCCTGTGAAATGCAGTCCAAATAAGGAGCCATGTGGATTCTTTCTAACTCTTCATATGATAATACTGTATTTCCTTCATTTTTGCCTTTCTCAGTGCCCCCATCTCCAACAAAGTGCTTGGCGCAAGCAATGACCTTGTTCCTGAAATATTAATAGCATATATAATAAAAGTTTTGATGAAAACTGATAATGACTCCTAGTTTGGCGAGTTTTTTAAGAATGTAGTAATCTATGCCAGGATCTGCATGATAAAGTAGCCGAGTGTTTAAACGGGGAACATGAAAAAGAAAGAAAGAAAAAAAAAAGCATGGAAACTTTGGAGGCATCATAAATTTTCACCACTGAAGTAAGGAAAAGAAGTCTGAAAGGGAACATTTCTTTTCTAGGGCATGAGTCAATCTTGGAAAAAATCATATGAATAGACTAAAATAAAAAGAAAGCAAAAAAAAAACAGAGAAGTCATTGTGCTCTCAAACGTCAGTATAACTTGTATTTGGTATAGTACCTTCTATTTTTATAATAATCACTATTTCCATAGAAAGTTTCTTTTATAGGGTATGAATCAACCTAGGAAAAGTCGTATGAATAAACCACAAATTAAAAAAGCAAAAAGAAAAGCAGAAAACAGGGAGTCGTCCTGCCGTCAACGGTTAGTATGATTATATGATATAATTACTATTTCCACGATAAAAAACATATATCTCTAGGAATTATATTATAGTTTCTCTCTACCTTCCAGCCACGAAAGGATAACCATGTTGATGTCCTGTTGGAGGCTGGCCCTGCAAACCTGAAACTATGGAGCTCATCTTTCTGACTATCTCAGTATCTTCGCTATAACTCTCATAGAATCTTCCCCACCTGGGATCTTTGCAGACCTGTCCATTTTTTCATTCAAGTGAGACGTAATTTTTTATAGCATTATCCAGAGACATTACCAGGGGATGGTGAAATAAATATGGGTAGAAAAGATGTATATTGGTTAACCATGTTGATTTAAACGCCATTAGTCAGTGATTTAAAAAAAAAAAAGAGTGAATCTGGCTATGCAATACAAAGATGAACAAGTACAACAGAAAAGGAGGTCACATGTTCAGACGAAAGTGCCCAATGTTTCAAATATTGCCACAGTACTAACATATACACTTTGCGGTTCATTAGCATGACTTGTAACAAGAATATAATACGGGTTAGTTATGATGACTTACTGCAACACAAGGAGCAAAGGCATAGTGAATTCCACTTGCTCTAATTTCAAGTGCTGTTGCAGCCCCAATTCTTTGAGCTAACTCTGCATCCCTACAAGCAGCCATCAGTAAGAAATGAAAGCTCAGTCTCAAGAACACAACGGCGGTTCTATATGAATACTGAAGCTTTAGTAATAAGCAAGCTGTTAACGGATCAATTCTTGTAGAGTAAGCAATTATAGCCTCCGCCCACCCGCCTTGTATATTGAACAAACATCAAACACCTTTGGAACCTACACTTTACTATAAATGGAATATTGGTATTCAAATCAAGTTCAAGGGAAAACACCAACCTAGTTGCTCCGAGGCCAATATTGTGAGGATATATAGTGGAACCGTATATACTATTGTTACCATGAACTGCATCGATCCCATATATGAGCGGTATGCCTAATCGGGACTCGAGAGCTGATTTTTGAAAGCCATCTATCATATCAGCCCAATCCGACGCCATTGCATTTTCAAAAGGACCACTACCTCCACAACTGAGCATGCTCCCTTCAAAGAAAAAGGAGGCAGATATCAGAACCAGAATACAAATGTTCTCAACCTTCAAATCCTGACAGAGGGGGGGAAAAAGTCAGAGAAAAGAAAATAGTACCAATGGACAAGTCTCTAATGGCGGAAGGGGTTGCAACGCGACGCTCGATTTGGGTCATCTGACCAATCTTCTCCTTGAGAGTCATTCGGGAAAGAAGGTCCTTGACACGAGCTTCAATGGGTTCATTGGGATTCTTGTACACGCAATCCATGTCCTTCAAAAGCAGAGTAAGCACAAGAAACAGAATGTATTGTGAAGTGGGGATAGTTTGATCTCCATGTCTCTTATAGGGCGGGAAGTGAAATGGTTCGTTGATCAGCACGTCTTCATTTCACGGACCCAATGGACACGTTGATGACGACCAACAAGGCCGCGTTTGTGTTAAGATGAATATACCATACTACTTCCGGTCCTAAATATAAGAACCAGTTGGCTAATTTAGATAGATTAAGAAAATAAGTTAAGTTAATTATTTATAATAAATATGTGTTATCTTTCCTAAAATATCCTTGCTAATCAAGTTTATTGACCAGAACTACTATTTTTTTTGGGTACAACGAACTATCATTATTAGAAGGATTATCTTGGAAAAAATGAATAAATATAAGAGACAAAATAGATTGACGTATTATATTTAGGATCAAAATATATGTTCCCTCTATTTCTCCGAGCAAAGCTCTTCGCATCGCAATGCCTATTGTGTCGGCTTGATCGTGGTTTACAATTATAGCTTTTATACCTGTTTATGTGGGATCGTCTCTCGAGGTAATATTATTATAAGGGTAAGGTTTTACTTAGAGTTAGGAATTACAGTCAATATCATAGTAATTTTATCTCCTATTGTGATGATTTTAAAATTTTGGAGCAATACTAAGCTTCAAAAAACTTTCCTGTGCCTATTTATGAGCGAAAACTTTCCAACAAATTTTCAACTTTGCCCTTGTTACAAAATCAAATAAGACGAAGAGATTTTGAGATACCTATCTATCCTGAGAAAGAAATGAGGAGATATGTGGAGAATTATCATCACAAGTGCGGTGAAGGAATGTGGGATACGAATGAGGTGGACTCCATCTGTGTGAAATGGCAGCGACCAAATACAGGATGGTGCAAGTTAAACACTGATGGGACGGGGACAGTGGAAGACTCAAATGGTTGTTGGAGGTGTGATCAGGGTGACAGTGGAGAGTGATTGGGAAGCTGATGAAGCTGAAGCAAGGGCTGTTTTGGAAGGTCTGGAACTGTGTTGGAGGATGGGGTTCCAAAAAATCGAAGTAGAGTCTGACTCAAAGTTGGTTGTGGAAGCTACTAACAACAGAGCTTCTATTGCGGGAAACTACAATATATTTGCAGGGATTCATGAAATGACAAAGCATGATTGGCAAGTGAAAATCAGCCATGTTTATCGAGAGAGTAACCACTGCGCAGATAGGATGGCATTCTTCAACTAAACATGATTTTAAAAATAATTGTACAGTATATGAACGAAAATATATACAGGAGTTTATCTCAGTCTTTGGAAAAATACTTTTAGAAAGTATCCTTGACAATAGCCAAACACCTTTAGGGCTGGAACATCAGGACAGTCATTTTCTGGCAGTCCCCTCCTATTGAGCATAAACAACCGTTACACGAAGACCTGGAGAGTGTAGGAATCAGGAGTCATCTGCGTAGAATAAGTAGTCAAGTCGTCTTGTGTTTTGTTCTTTGTTCACAAAAAAAAAAAATCAAAGAAGACGAGTTAACTTCACACCTTTAGACCGGTCACTGAAAATCAGATTCCAAAGTTAAACTCGCTGAGACACTAGCTAGTTTGATGATGTGTTTGAACTAACGGTAGTAAAAATGATTTTTATCTTATCTGACTTTTATAAATTTGAGTTAGGATAAAAGTCAGTTAGCGTAATATGATTAATGTTTCGATTAATTTTTATAAAAATTAGTTTGATAAATTAAAAATTGTTTGAATAAGTAATGAAAAAATAAGATATAAAATGATTGAAAAGGGTATTATTTTTCTCTAAACTAATCTGCTTGACTTATAAATTGATTTGTAATATAGTGATACATATGAATGTTTTAGAGAAATTATGTAACATATAATATAATTAGGTAATTTATTTAGATTTCTTACTTTCTTTAAATTAGTTCATTGGGTTTTATATTAATGGCGGGTGATAATATATCATATATGCATATGTATAATTTGATAAATTTTAAAAAAACAATAACGTAAAATAATTAAAGAATATTAGTTAATTTTTTCTTCTTATAATACTTTTTATAAACATCATATTACCACTGAAAAAAAAAAATTATTGAGTCAAAGTAAGCCCACTTAAATATCTTTATTTTTTTAATTACTTAAATATCTTTATTTTTTTAATTTTCATTTGCTTTTTCCCTCAACGATGGTGACTGAAAAAAAACTCAAAATTTGGAGAAATTCTTACATACACCTCATAAATTCTCGTCAATGAAAATGCAACACCCGAGCTGATTTTAATTCAAAGGCTGTCAGCTTCCTTTTTGACACTGGCATCTCGCTTTCCTGGAGTTATGCGCAGGCAGAGAGGCGTGAAGCACCCCCACACCCATTCACCCTCGCTCCCCCCGCCGGCTTCCATACGTTTCCCACCTCTTCAATTCTTTCCAATTTTTTATTCCAAAATTCTTAATTCCTAAGTAAGAATTAGTTATTTAATAATTTTAATTGTTAGAAATTTTGAATACTTTGTCATTTAAATATTTTTATAATTTACTTGATAATATATCCACAAAATTATCTTTTTTATTTTAAACATTTAAATTTTATTAAAATAAATATAATAATTATTAAATTGTGACGAAATACGTTTTATGCACATTTTTTATTTTCAAGTTAATTTTTCAAAAAAGAACAATTTAATTAAAATTTGTTGAGTTAAATCAAAATATTGTATTAAACCCTCGTAATGTCTAAAATTCGGTATTATTTACATCATTACAAGAAAATAAATTTGCCAAAAATTTGAGATCAATTTAATTGTGATTCAAAGTTAATAATATACATTTTTAAAAAAAACAAATTAAATTATATTACTAATTTTTTTGGAGAATAAAGGGCAACTCTACTTTCATTGGTTTCATGAAAATTATTATGCTTCTTTTGATGTGACTGTGAATTTCACTTTTAATATATTTATCGAGACTACAAAAAATTTTAGATCTTATTAATTTCGTTTTAAAATTTAATAATTTTTTTATATCATTCTAATTTTATTGGATGTCCTAAAGGAACATAAATAATAGGAAAAATCTTATAAAAGGAATTTAAAAATTATTAAATTCTAAATCAAAATAATTTCTTACAATTTAACGAGTTTTAATTACGCTTAACTTGCAAATAACAACATATTTTTATATGAATTTTTTTATTTAAGATTTAGTAATTTTTATATTTTTTTGTGAGATTTTATCTAAACAATATACATTCTACTCAAAGAAAAAAAAGTCTACATAATAATAAATAAATAATAAAATTGCTCATATACTTTCTGTCCTAATTTTAAGAACTCATTTGTATTATGATTAAGACCGGAAGTAGTAATATGATTTATAAATAAAAAAATATTATTTTTATTTTATAAGTAGAATTAGAGAAGTATTACTTCACTCCTAGGCCGATTTTCTAAATTCATTTAACTTTGATCTATGATGACTAGACCAGGCTCAACATGGGAGAGCTTGAATAATGAATATGAGAATATCAGAGGTCTGTGCGCGTGGGTTCCAGGGAGTGGGATGCTAGTTTCAAAAAAAAAGAAAGAAAAGGGTAACAGCCTGCTTGAAAATCAGTTTAGGTGTTGCATTTTCATTGGTCAGGTTTATTTGAGGCGACGCTTTCAGAATATGTAAGAATTTTCAAAACTGGGGCTTTCAGCGTACTGTGCTTTTTGTCCAAGCCAATCCAAACAGGCACAAACGGGAAACAACTCACCAACACCCGACACGCCCTGTCCAAGGCACGTTTTTCGCTGCAAACGCATAAATGTGCTTTTTCTCCAAATGCTCATTATCGTAGTATGATTTGCGTTGTCTCGTTCGTATTTAAAATTTTAATAGATAATTTTTAAATACAAAATTATTTTTTAAAAAACTGAGAGTTGATATGTTATCTCTATTTTTTTTTGACCTTGGAGTTAGATAATTGAGAAGATATTTTAATGAAATAATTGTAAAAGTGAGGTTTGTAACGTTTGTTTGGATTTCCTTTTGTCATTTAAACCAATGTCATTTAAACCGATGCACATATTGTGAGAAGTAATAAAATGATGCATCTTCAAAACATTTGATTAGAGCAGGCTAATCTAAATTAAGTCTGATTATAGTAACCCCAGAGATGTTGGGTAGTAAACTGTAAGGTGTTTCTCTTCTGGTATAAAAAGACAATAAAGATAAAGTTGAAAAAGTAGTAAATTTTAAGATAAATTAATGATGTTTAAAGTTTTTTTTAATTTTAATAAAATATATTGAAACTGATTTATAAATAGAATAAAAAAAAGTAATTATAAACAAGTAGATATAAAAAGTGACATGAAGAATATTTTTTTAAAAAAAATTTTCGGGTCCAACACGGCTGCCTCGAATATGGATGATAACGACAAAAGATTTTCTTTTTTTCAAAAAGATGATAACAACAAAAAGTAAGGGCAATAATTGATGAAGGTTCAAAGTGGAGGACACAGCAAATACCACTTGAAAAGGACACAATCCTTTATGCATGCAGCTCATGTGAACCATTGGACAAGTTTAACGATTTGGAAATCTTCACAAAAACTAAATGAATTGTTTGGATGTTCTTTTTGCTCATGATTCTCTTTGGAAAAAAAAAAAAGATGCATGATTAATTGCTGTATCTATCTATAATTTATTTGATGTTCTAATTCGTTCGGATTTTAAAAGGGAAAAATTTCAATTAAAGATCGTATTAGACAATATATTTCAAACAGCTCCAAAAACATTTTGAAATATCACTGCAGAACCAAAGGAGCAAACTGAAATTAATTTAGGAAAAGAAAAGACATTTTTACCCCTCAAAACTCTATGACCCTCAAACTCTTCTCCCTCTCTTTGGAAACATTCGATATTTTCAGCTCTTCTCTCTGTCACTCTCTGAAAAATCCGTTGTTGTGTTGAGAGAGATCATTCGCCGTTGTCGTCATTTCGGTAAGGAGAGCCTTTGCTGTCGGTGTTGTTTTGGTAATAAGAGTCTTCATTGTCATCATAGTCTCTCTCTCTCTCTCCCCTCCCCTACGTGACCTCTTTCACTGCCTTTCCCTTCAAAAATTTCTGCATATAATACTGCAAATCCTTCTCCATTTCTTCTATCGTAGATTTTATGGGTTTGGTTTGGACTATCGTAAAGTTACAAATCAACGCCAACATCACTATGGTGTAGCGGCACGTCAATTGCCTTGGGTGCAACAGGTCGCGGCTTCGATTCACTCCACAAGCACTAGCTTGCTAATTCAAAAAAAAAAAAAGTTACAAATCAGTGAGAATTTTTTTTCCTACTTAGATTTGAGATAAAATTATATTGTGGGTTGATTTTAGAATCACATTATTGAATGTTGAGGGTAATCTTTTTAGTTCCTATCATGAATTGTATTATGGATTTGCAAATTTCACTTCTAAAAAAAACAGTGATTTTGTGTTGTGAAAACTCGTATTTTTGTTGAGAATTTGCAAATTCCTGCTATGAACATATACTGTGTTTAATTATTGAAAATTAATTGAAGTTAATACTTGAATGATGTGCAGCAACACATTATATATGGCTAGCAGCAATGTAAAGCAATTATTTTGCATCTTCCATATGGGAGGCAAATATGTGAAGATCTTAGAAAGCAAAATGATAGATGAAGTACTGTACTGAAATTGGTTGGTAATTATGTAAATGCAGAACAAATTAATCTACTTGTAAATTGATGTACTTATATTGTTAATGATCGTATTTGTGTTGCAAATGTCCTAATTCTACTTTTGAGCTGTCACTCCCAGAGTTATGAATTATTTTGTTCAACTTTATGAAT